CTGCCTGAGGACAGTGGCAGACGACTCGGGGGACGGGCTGGGATAGACCCTGAATATGAATCCTCCTCGTTAAATTCAAAGCAACGAGCAGCACTCCATCACGTGCGTCTCCCTCCCCTGCAATACATCCAGGCAACGCTCAGCTCGGAAAAAAAAAAAAAAATCCAACAAAAAACACAGAACGACAACAAAAAAAACCCCAACGACGAGCCCCGTAAACAAACTCTGGGGGCAGCTGAGGTTTTATAACCAGCGGAATTAAACTCCATGTCAAATGCAATTTATGTCCGGGCAAACGTGCCGTTAGTTAAGCAGAACCCGGGTCACGGGGGAGGGACCATGATGGGGGATATTAATTGTGCGTGGCGGCAGGGCTGCGTCACCTCCACGCCGCTACGCTCATCATTAGCCGCCGTGGAGCATCCCCCCCCGCCCCGGCCCGGGGACTCGTCCTGTCCCTCCGCGTGGGATGCGGTTATGTGGGATGCGGTTATGTGCCGTGCGGTGCCGTGGGTGCTGTTAGGGCATGCGGAGGTGGGCCAGCGGCATGCGGGGCCCCGGCCCGTGGGGGTGAGGTGGGGGTTAGGGGAGGAGGGGGAAGGAAAGAGGAGCTCCTCACAGTTTACTCTTTCTTTTCTGATACTTTGCCACCATGTCCTGCAAACTGGGAGAGGTTGGGGAGGGGGGGGATGGGGAGAAACACAACAGAAAGGAAATCAAATGAAAGGAAAAACAAAAAAAAAAAACCAAACCCAAAACCAAAAAGACCAAGTGGGTGGGGAATGAATGGGGGGGCAAATCAAATGGTGGGGAAGGGCCAGGGGAGGGAAGTGTGGCTGCCCTGCACTTCTGGTGTGGGGCTGCACCTCGCTGGATCCCAGTATCCTGGGTCAGGCTGAACCCCAGCATCCCGGGCCGGGCTGGATCCCAGTATCCCGGGCCAGGCTGGATCCCCGTATCCCGGGCTGGGCTGGATCCCAGCATGCCAGGTCAGGCTGGATCCCAGCATCCCAGACCTGCTGGCAGCCTGCGCTGCCCTGGCTGCTGGGGCTCCTTGGGCTGTTTCCAGCCAACCGGTACGGCGCCGGCTGCGTTTCAGGCACCTCAGACGGGTGAAGCTGCATGGGGGCTGTGGGTGGAGGGAGGGACGGATGCACAGATGCACGGATGGACGCACGTGTGCATGGGTGCACAATGCACGGCTGGACGGATGCACGGGTGCATGGATAGATGCACGTGTGCACGATGCAGGGGTGCATGGATAGATGCACGTGTGCACGATGCACGGGTGCATGGATAGATGCACGTGTGCACGATGCATGGATGGAGGGATGCACGTGTGCACGATGCATGGATGGAGGGATGAACAGGAATTCCTGCCGGGGCCAGGCAGAGCCGATGGGTCCCCGTGGCATTTCAGAAGTGGCGAGGAGAAGCGGTGAGCCCCGGTGATGTGCCTCACGCGGGAGCCAGGCACAGGCGCTCTCACCTGTTGATGAGGTCCTCATTGCTGTCGCTCTCCATCTCATCCTCGATGGCCGCCTGCAGGTCCCCGATGCGCTTAAAGGCCAGCTTCAGGTCCGACTGCAGGCTCTGGTTGGCAGCTTCCAGGCTCTCCAGGTCCATCTCCTGCAGGGAGGGAGCCGCGTGAGCCGGGTACCCCACAGAAACCCCCCCATTCCCCTGCCCGGCTCCGCTGTGGGTGCCTCACCAGCTCGTGCTTTTTGCGGCTGGCCTCTGCCTCCTTCTTGGCCAGCTCGCCCATCTCCTCCTTGACGTCGCGGAGCTGCCGCTGCAGCCGCTTGTTCTGCTCCTTCTCTCGGTTCTCAGCAGCCGCTCGCTGATCCCGGTCCCCCGTCAGCTTCTCCATTCTCCTTCAGCCGCGTGGCCAGGCTCTGCGGATCGGTGGGCACAGGGGCAGTGCAGATCCCCCCTGTAGACCCCCGACCCTGCAGCAACACCGACCAAGGGCTCAGGCGAGGACGGATCCCATCCCCACGAATTTACACAAGGAGATGGAGGAGAACCCCTCGCCCAGGGCCAGGAAAGGGGCAGAACAACCCGCGGAGGCTTTGCCGAATTGGAAAAATAGATTTAACTGTGTGTGAAGTAATTACAGCGTGTAACGTAGGGAAAAAATAGCTCCCATTCTCCCCCGGCCGCTGAGCCAGCCGCTGCATATTTATGGCCCCGGCAGAGAGAGCGGGGAAGGGAAATAACAGCTAGGAAGATATTAAGAGGAGAGCTAAGCTGCTCCGCTCCCCCGGCAGAGCTGCAAAGGCAGAATATAAAGCAGGCTGTGTTTAGCGGGGCCGGGAGAGTCTATAATTTCCTTAAGTCAATGCAGGGAAATAGCAGCGCTTTGCCGGGCTGGGTGGTGGATTAGTGTTATCAGCGCTCGCAGGGAACTCTCCCTGTGGGGCCGGGGCCGGGCTGCTGGCGGGGGGTGGGGGGAGCCAGGGAGGGGATATTGGGGATGCTCTCGGCAGACCCCCTGGGCAGGTCGGCATCATGGTCCCGCTGCAGCTCAGTCCCAGCTGGAACGGAGGGATTGCCCAATGCCTACCTCCAGGCGCTTGACTTGCGTCCGCTCGAACTCCAGCCTGGACTCCAGCTCGCGGATCTTGGCCTCTTGCCGGCTCACCAGCGACTTGTCCACCATGGATTGCTCCAGGAACTCCAGCTGGCTCTGCAGGCCTTGCAGCTGCCGGGGCGGGGGGAGGTAGACACAGCCTCAGCCTTGACCACAACTTCCCTGGTCCCCCACCATGCCGCCCTGGAGCAGAGCTGATGGCCACTCTGCTCCCATCCCACAAGGGAGGTCTCCACGGGACTGCTCTGCACCCCTCAGGGTGCAGGGGGTGTTCTCCATAGTGTGGGCAGTGGGTGTCTGTGTGCCCCCCTGTTCCCCTGGCTTCACTCGGGGTGCATGCCTATGCCCGATGTCGGTGCTGCCCACCTTCTCCTGCAGCTCCTGCTTCTCCTTGCTGACCTCCTCCAGCTGCGCCTGGAGGTCATTCATCTGCGCCAGGTCCCGGGATGCCTGTGGGACACACCGGGGCCATCAGTGGGGATCCCGCTGTGCTGGCTCCGAGAGGGGTGTTATGGGGGGCCGGGGGTGCCACAGCCATCATTCACCCCTCACCTGGGCCACAGCTGCCTTGTGCTTCTTCATCAGCTCATTCATGTCCTCCTGGTCCTCTTCCAGCCGACTCTGCACCTCGTTCTTCTCCCGCTGCAGCCGGCTCAGCTGCTCCTCCAGCTGGGGGGAACCACCTGTGTCTCCCACTGTGCCCCAGAAGATGAGGCACCCACCCCCCCAAAACCACCCCCAGTGGTGTGGGGTCACCCTGCCAGCGTGTGCCACGCTGCTGGGGGTCTCGCCATGGCTGCAGGTGGGGCACGGCCCCATCACGGTGCATCACATCCCAAAAAACCACTTACTGCTCCCTTGGCCTTGGCAAGGTCGTCGATCTGCAGGTGGAGGTCTTCAATCTCCACCTCCATCGACTTGCGGGCCTTGACAGCGGCTGCACAGGTGAACTCCGACTCCTCCAGCTGTAGGGACATGGCTCAGCAGGCGGCCAGGGGACGGGGACACCCCGTGTCCCTCAAGGGCTGCAGTTTTGAGGGGGTCTGGATGCACACCTGGTTCTTGAGCTGGGCGATCTCCCTCTTGCTGGGCGCATTGTTCTTCAGGTGGTCCAGCATGATCTGCGCATCGGCCAGCAGTGCCTTTGTCCTCTTCAGGTCCCGGCGCAGGCGCTTTTCCGTCTCGAAGTCCCGCTGGTTGGCCTGTGGCAGGAAGGACCATGCCAGGGCACCATACAGGTGGTGTGCCCACCCCACCATGGCCACCTTGGTGTCCTCAAAGTGAGGCATGTGCCCAGCTGCCCTACGCCATACCTGCTCGCTGACGGCGGATAACTTGCTCTCCAACTCCCGTTTCTCTCTCAGCACTTTCTGCTTGTCCTCATACTCCTCCTCCAGCTGCACCTCCATCTGCTTCAGCTGGGGGACAGCCCAGGCAGCTGGTCAGGGCGGCGGGAAGGGGCCAGGACCCCCATCCTCGTGTGTCCCCACATACGGGGAACCCCGAGTGACACCACCAGCCGGGTGTTTGCGCAGCCAGAGGTGCACAGCCCGGCACGCGCTGGCCCAAGCAGCAGAGGGACCGGTCGGACCTGCCGGGCCAGTGGAGCCGGGCCGTGGCCGCGTGGGAGCTGGGCGCTGGATGATGGTGCCCGGCTGGCAGCTCCCGGCACCCCAGCTGGGGCACGGGGACGCATCCTGCCCCCCCCGCCACGGGCCAGAGGGGCTGCAGCTGAACCCTACCTTCTTCTGGCATGACTGCCGAATCTCCTCCACCTCCTCGTCGCGGCTCTCCACCTCCTTGGCGTGGGTCTGCCGCAGCCGCTCCATCTCCATCTCCAGCCGCAGCTTGGCCTGTAAATTGGGGGGACACAGTCAGAGCGAAGGGGACACGAGGACACCCCCCCCCCACGCCACTCCCTGGGCCACTCACCCAGTAAACCCCCCGGTCTGAGGCCGGCCGGGCTGCCCGCCCCACAGTGACCTGCCGGGCCATGGCACGGAGGGCCGGTAGCCGTGTCGGCAGCCGCGATGCCTGGCCCGATGCCGGGCTGAGGGCGACCGCCTCCTCTTCCCCAGCAAGCCCGGCCCAGGTAATAACAGCCCTGCATGAAACCACCCCACCCAGAAACCTCGCCCCTCCCCGCCGTACCTGCTCCAGCATCTGGATGGTCCCAGCCTGCTCGTCCAGTTCCTCCTCCTGGTCTTTGACCTTCGCCTCCAGGTCCCTCAGCTGCTTCTTCACCTTAGCCAGGGAAGCCTCGTCTTTCGACTCCTGGGAGGAGATGTCCTGCAGCTCGGCCTCCAGCGCCTCTGCCTTCTGCGTCAGCCCCGCAATGTCCGAGTCCTTGTCCTGTCGAGAGAGGGTGTCACTGTGAGCCCGGGGCACCTGCTGGTCAGGGGACTGGGGAGGGAACCGGCGGCCGCTCACCTCCAGCAGCTGCTTGAGGCCGAAGACCTCGGCCACCAGCACGTCCTTCTCGCGGCTCAGCTTCTCCCGCTGCAGCCTCTCCCGCTGCGCCTCCTCATGCGCCTGCGAGAGCTCGCTGTCGAACCTGCGTGGGGAGAGCGGGGCGGGAGCTCAGCACCCCATGACGGGCACCAGGACAGGTCCCCAGCCCTGCGGCACCGGCACCGCGCCGAGCATCCCCATCCCACGGCAGCAGGCACCGGGAAAGGGCGGTGCGCTGCCGGGTGCTCGTTTGAAACATGCTGTTGATGAGTCTCTTTAATTGCCAGCACGGTGGTGTGGAACCACTTGGAGAAACTCCTCCCGATGCCGTTGCTCTGCGGCTAATGGAGAGCACAGCGCCCGCAGCGCAGACCCCAGCAGCCACCCTGCGGGGCTAGCACGTGCCGGCGGGGACCATGGCTGCTAACGGTTGGCTACGTGGAGGCAGCTGGGGACACCGCAAAAAAACCCAGGCAGGCCACAGAGGGGCTGCAGGACACCGGGGGAGCTCCAGCAGAGATGGGCTCTTGTGGCAGAGCGGCTCTCCCAGCCGCAGCCCGGTGCCGCGATTCCACGTGAGATGGCACTGGTCCCAACCCCAGAGGGGACACCAGCCCACGGTGGGGCTCAGCACAGCCTGGAGCCAGGCAGCTCCAGGGCAGCCTCTCCCAATTCCCCCCGGGATGGGATCAGCCAGTTTTTTTCTGAAATCACTGCCTTTGGGGCTTGGAAAACAACCCTGCGCTTGAGTTTGTGACCTGCGTTAAACACCTCGGCAGCTAATCCCCATTTTTCCTCGCGCTGGGTAATAAACAGCTGCATTAGCACAGACTCCAATCCATGGAAATTGAAATTAATTAGATTGGATTCTCTCGCTGTATTTGTGTGTGTGATCATTACCATAATGAGATGAAAGCGTCCCTGCTGCTTAATAAGGTTAGCAAACTTTGGGGCTGGGAGAGGGGACAGGATGAAAGCAAGCACTGAGCAGAGCCACGGGGCACAAACAACCTCTACCATGGGGCAGAGCCCCACGTGGAGGGTTCACTCAGCTCTGGGACCCCCAAAAGTGCATTGGGGTGTCCCCCCCCACGAACACATCCAACCCGGGCAGTCCCATCCCACTGCAGACACCTCAGCCAAGTGGGAGCTGGTGAAGTGCCCAAATCCCTGCTAAAATGGTAATGCCACTTTGCAAGAGGCTCACCGGACGGTGAGGATGCTGTCCCCTCCGCGTCCCCTCCCCCCCTGCCTCCAGCACGCGGTCCCCACCTCCGCTGCTTCTTCTCCAGGTCATGGTTACGTCCTTGTTGGCCCTCGAGGTGCAGCTTGGTGTCCTGCAGCTCTGCGGCCAGGCGCTGGCACTTCTTCTTCAGCTGCTGCAGTGCCCGCTGGCTCTCCTCGCTGTCTGCCTGCAGGTCCGTCAGCTGCGGGCAGGAGCAGGCAGGGCAGTGAGGGCTCCGGGAAGCCACCACGTCCCTGCCTGCCCCGGCCACGTGCTCCCCATGTAGAGCTTCAAGCAGGCAGCGACTGCCCATCCCCACCCCGGGGGGACCAAGGGGTTCCCAGAGCCCCCCACTCCCCCTCCGCTCCAGCTGCCTCTTGCTCTGCTGCTCCACCTCCAGCTTGTCCTCCAGCTCCTGCTGCAACCGTTTCTTGGTGAAGTCGATCTCCCGCACCGCCCGCTCGTATTTCAGCCGCCATTCGCCGCCTGCGCAGGGAAACGAGGTCACTGAGGGGCTGTGTGGGGTGGTACGGGGCCACCGTGGAGAGAGGGGCATGGTGCCGTGACCACAGGGCACCCAGGGTGTGCCGGTGGTGAGCGCTGGAGGCAGGACGGTACCTGAATCATCATCGTCGAGCTCCCCGTTGAGCTCAGCCGCACGGATGAGCCGAGCCTCCATCACCTCCATCTCCATCGACTCCATCTGCTTCTTCAGAGCATCATACTTGGCCTGGGAGGAGACATGGCCATGGTGAGCATAGGGGTGGGGGCCAGGAGACGCCGTGAGGCCGGGGAGAAGCATGTGTACCTGCAGGTCCTTCATCTCCTTCTCGGCCCGCAGCCTCTCGGCTGTCTCGGCGTCCAGCAGCTGCGAGGCCGACTCACCGGTGTTTCGCTCGTCTGTCAGCTCTGATGTCAGCTCTGTGATCTGTGGGGTGGGGGAGCAGGACCATGGGCTGGGGCAGGCACCGGAGCAGGCCAGCGCGGCGCCGCACCCCCTCCCGGTGCCGGCGAGGACCTACCCTGCTCTCCAGGCGGTCGCTGTTAAGCCGGAGCTCGTTACGCTCCTTCTCCACCTTCTCGAGTTTGCTCTTCAGCTGTTGGATCTCTTCCTGCAACAGAGCGGGCGGTGAGGGAGGGGGCAGGCGCAAGGCGAAGAGGTTGGCAGGCAGGAGCCTGGCAGGTCTCCGCAGCCCCCCCAGTTCCCCCCCAGCGCTGGGTGGGCAGGGTGGGGGCTCCCCGGGGCGAGGGCCGCTCTCCCCTGCCAAGGGCTGGGCAGGGACTTTCCCCAAGCCGCTCCGCCGCCGTGCTGACTCCAAACCCATAAATGGTGTCGAAAAGCCAGGCAGCCCCGGCAAAGGCGGAGAGGGGTCCCCGCACCCCTCGGGAGAGAGGGTGGGAGCAAACCCACCCATCGGCACCTCACCGAAGGGTTTGGGTGCACCCAGCGCAGGTGGGGAGGGAGGGGGGCACACCGGCATGCCCGCGGACCACCAGCCAGCACTGCGGAGGCGTGCCCGGCCGCCAGCTTCAAGCACGTCTTTCTCTCCCTCCAGTCCCAGTACAAGCTGGGGGGGGAACAGGAGGGGGCTCAGGTACCCCCACCCCGGGTGCCCGTTCTCAGCGGGCCGGGGTGAAAGCTGAGCCAGGCAGCAGCTCCGTGCCGGGCGGGCTCGGCGGGGGCACAAGTGTCTGGTTGCCAGCATGGCGCGGAGCCCCCGCATATGCCTCTCGGCACACGGTTTCATTTCCATTCTCCACGCCTTGTAATTGGGCTCATGCAACAGCCGGCTCTCGGGATGCTAATGACATGCTGATTCGCAAATTAGGGAGCAATTTGAGCCTGGCGCTGACGGGGCGTGGGGCAGCCACGGTACTGCATCTCACCCCATCGCGGGCTCCTTGATCCCACCCTACCACGAGGTCCTGCATCCCAACCCGCTGTGGGATTCTGCATTCCATCTCGCCGTAGGGTCCTGCATCCCACCCCACCGTGGGGTCCTGCATCCCACTCCAACATGGGGTCCTGCATCCCACCCCAATGTGGGGTCCTGCATCCTACCCCAACGTGGGGTCCTGCACCCCACCCCGCCACCAGATCCTGCATCCCACCCCAGCGTGGGGTCCTGCATCCCACCCCACCATGGAGTCCTGCATCCCACCCCACCGTGGGGTCCTGCCTGGGATCAATGCTCCCCTGAGCCCATCCTGCCCCATCCAGCATCCCCCGACATAGAGATACTCACGTCTTTGCCACGGATCTGGTCCTCGGTGAGCTGCACCTCGATGAGGGGCCGCACAGTGGTGAAGAGCTTCCACCAGGGCCAGCCCTTCACCCCCTTGTTCTTCTTGATGTTCTTCTGCACGCACCGGATGGCCAAATCCTGGATCTGCACGGGGTACGGTGTCAGCACGGGGTGCCGCCAGCAGGGCAAAATGGGGCGGGCGGGCACTCAGCACCCCTGCCGGCACCCTAACACACTCCCTTTCATTAGTGTTTGGGCTAATTGCACCCGGCTTATCTGCTGTTTGATTCTCTCCAGCCCCTACAAACACTAATCTTGTGGAAGGCGAGGTGCTGACGAGATGCCTATTTTATGCCCTCTTTAATAATAAAAGTAAAAGCCAGTACGTCGCTTCATCCCGCCATGGCGATGCCCAGCACCCTCCCTGCCGGTTCCCCCC